CAGTATAATTATGTGTTATTCTATTTACCAGTATAATTATATGTTATGTTCTATTTACCAGTATAATTATGTGTTATTCTATTTACCAGTATAATTACGTGTTATATTCTATTTACCAGTATAATTATATGTTATGTTCTATTTACCAGTATAATTATGTGTTATTCTATTTACCAGTATAATTATGTGTTATTTTATTTACCAGTATAATTATGTATTGTTCTATTTACCAATATAATTATGTGTTATTCTATTTACCAGTATAATTACGTGTTATATTCTATTTACCAGTATAATTATGTGTTGTTCTATTTACCAGTATAATTATGTGTTATTTTATTTACCAGTATAATTATGTGTTATTTTATTTACCAGTATAATTATGTGTTGTTCTATTTACCAATATAATTATGTGTTATTCTATTTACCAGTATAATTATGTGTTGTTCTATTTACCAGTATAATTATGTGTTATTCTATTTACCAGTATAATTACGTGTTATATTCTATTTACCAGTATAATTACGTGTTATATTCTATTTACCAGTATAATTATGTGTTATTTTATTTACCAATATAATCATGTGTTAATTTATTTACCAGTATAATTATGTGTTGTTCTATTTACCAGTATAATTACGTGTTATATTCTATTTACCAGTATAATTATGTGTTACTTTATTTACCAGTATAATTATGTGTTGTTCTATTTACCAATATAATTATGTGTTATTCTATTTACCAGTATAATTACGTGTTATATTATATTTACCAGTATAATTATGTGTTATTCTATTTACCAGTATAATTATGTGTTGTTCTATTTACCAATATAATTATGTGTTGTTTTATTTACCAGTATAATTATGTGTTGTTCTATTTACCAATATAATTATGTGTTGTTCTATTTACCAGTATAATTATGTGTTATTCTATTTACCAGTATAATTACGTGTTATATTCTATTTACCAGTATAATTACGTGTTATATTCTATTTACCAGTATAATCATGTGTTATTTTATTTACCAATATAATCATGTGTTAATTTATTTACCAGTATAATTATGTGTTGTTCTATTTACCAATATAATTATGTGTTGTTCTATTTACCAATATAATTATGTGTTAATTTATTTACCAGTATAATTATGTGTTGTTCTATTTACCAGTATAATTATGTGTTAATTTATTTACCAGTATAAATATGTGTTGTTCTAT